TCTGAACTTTAGATGGGAAACTGGGGCTCTGAGAGGGCAAGGGACCCTCTTATGGCCATACCAATGGCCTCTACCCAAGTCAGGGTACCCAGCAGGCTTCTTATCTCCCCCAACCTTTCTCCTCCTTCCTGTCCCAGAGCCTGCCCTGGGACTGCATCCACGGCTGCCACCAAGGAGCTGGCCCAGCTGTGGCGAGTGATGACCCAGCAGGAACGAAGACCATATTGGTGAGAAGCAAGCCTCTGCCCAGGAGGCTTGGGTGGTAGGGTAGAGGGGTCTCTCTTATCCTTAATCCTGCTTCTTGGTATTGGTGACAGATTGGGAGTTTACTGGGCTGAGGAATTTATGTGCTACCAATTTTTAGGAAAGACTTGGGGGCAACAGGCAGAGAAGTGCTCTACCTTGTAGCTAAGCAGGTCAAATTCCATAAGTGGGGATTTGGACCCTATTGCCTCAGTTCTTTTTGCTCTCTCTGCCATGTGGGGTTTCTCAGAGCACGGTCTTTATTTTCCTGTCACTTGGCCTCCTCTCCTCCTCTTCTACTCCATTCCCTGAAATCTTGTCTTTCCCACCAACTTTGAAGAGCTACCCTTTGCTCATTTCTAAATTGGCCCCTGAAACACTCATGTCTGTGCAGTTTTTAACAGATCCTCGAAGGAGTGTGGGACTCCAGCAAAGAGCTGTTGGTGGTGTCCCATCTTATAGACTGGGACTTGGAGGCTCAGAGGTGTGCCCAGTAGGATTCGGGGTGGGACAGAGATGCCCAGGAGTTAAGTGAGGAACCCCTGGCTGTCCTACCACTATCTCCCCCCACCTCTCAGCATCAAGGCCCGAAGATTCAGCCGCCAGCATAACCGTATTGTGAAGCAAGACAGCTCCAGCAGTGAGGATGACGACTGGGAGACGCCCAAGCCTTTCTACCAGCTGCTGGCTGAGAAGGCCCGCTGTTCCCCAGACAAGGCCTCCCTGCTGCCCCCTCAGCACAAGTGAGAGAGTAAACCCCCCTCCCTCTCCTCCCTCAAAGGTCTTGCTTGAAGCCAGGAGCCTGGTGATAAAAAGCTTGTCCCCTCCTGGGCCTTGAGCCCTTGACGATGCAGGTCTCCTTGGCCAGTTCCCACGCGGCCTGAAGGGGAGGATTGAAGAGGGGGCGTGTACTGGCTCCCAGGCTGGCTGCCCTTTCACAGCCCCATATCTGCCCTGGGGCTCATCAGAGAAACCTCAGGGTGGAGGGAGAAACCCTAAATCAAATGCCGGAAGGTGAAGTTTACAGCTCCCCTCTGCCTTTCCTTTCCCTACCCAGGATCAATTGGTTTCAGTCTTGTTCATTCTCACCTTTTCCCACTCCTCTCTCCCTTGTTCTATTTATAGATTATTTATTGTTTTAAACAAAATAAAATAAGTGCAACCCTTGTTAACAGCAAAGGCAACGAGGCCAGGCTCTCCTGCATCCCCTGCTTTCTTAACCTGGGGCAGCCCTTCTACCTAAACCTGGAGGCCTGCAGCTTGAAAGAAACCTCATTGCCCAACACCCCCAAGCCCTACCACAAAACTGAGTACAAACTCCTCTGTCCCCTTCAGGAAGCAGGGACCCAAAAACCACAAACTAAAGTGGGACTGACATTTAGGTTTTTTGTTTTTTTGTTTTGGAGACAGAGCTTCAAGCTGTCCCCCTGGGTAGAGGGCCCTGGCATCACAGCTCACAGCAACCTCCAACTCTTGGGCTCAAGCAAGTCTCTTGCCTCAGCCTCCCAAGTAGCTGGGACCACAGGCACCCACAATGCCCGGCTATTTTTTGGTTGCAGCCGTCATTGTTGTCTAGCGGGCCCAGGCTGGATTTGAACCCGCCACCTTAGGTGTATGTGGCTGGCGCCTTAGCCACTTGAGCCACAGGCACTGAGCCATCATTTAGGTTTTCTTTGGGCAAGTCACTGGGAAGGAAACCCACACCCTCAGTATTCTGTCTGGTAACTTTAATTGAAATGGAGGCATAACATGTCCTAGAAAAATAAAGATTTAGCATACAAACTGGACACAGGGTTGGGGGTGCCCCCAGGGATGAGGGAGTCTTTGGTCTGGGATTGGATGTGATAGTGAGGGCTTTAGTCCAGGGGAGCTAATGGAGCAGAACCTGCCCTGCCCACACAGGGCATCCCTTTTTAGCAGGAAGGGCCCGGCTAGGGGAAAAGTCTGTCAGTCTGGGACACTGCCTGTCCTCCACCCTTGAATTCTAGGCAGTAGTGAGAATACTGAGTATCACTGGAGCTATTAATAGCATTTCAGGGAGTGATAGGAAGAGAGCTGAAAACCTAGCCATCTGGCAGAGTTTTTGGCTCACAGCCACTACCAGGTGGAAGGGGCAGAGTCCTGAGTCAGGATATCCCAAATCCACCTATATATGGCGGGGCAGAGCAAGGAAAGGGTTGTAACAGAGGAAGCCTCCCATGCAGAGAGGGATGGTGCCCTGGACAGAAAACGGACTGGGGTGAGTCCCCTGGGCAACTCCAGGGCTTGGAGGTTAACTGGGCTGGAGGATGTAGTGTGTATAGAATCTTCAGATTGCAGCAACTGTGTTTCTGAGAGGTTCCCTCCTCCCAGGTCTTGTCCCTGCATCTTGAGCACCATTGTCAGAAGAGCAATCTAGGCCAAGCTGGGTCACAGTTCCAAGGGTTCTTCCACAGGCACCGATTGTAGCTGGGTCAGGACCTTGGCCTCAGCTTCCAGCCCCTCATCAACTTCACCCCCTGCCGTGGTCCCCAGGAGCAGGCCCTCAGGGTCAGGGTCCTGCAGCCTCAGCACAGCATGGGGGGCCTGCGTCTCCAGCCCCTTTTCTGCTTCTAGCAGCCCCTCTGTTCCTGTGCTCAGTTCTAGCCCTGCTGGCCAGATGGGTACAGCCGCAGGTGACAGCATCAGCCCCTCTGGTGGGGGTACTGGAAAGTTGGGCAGGATGCCAGGGGAGTCTGGGGAGAAGGGCAGGCTGGCACCAGAGGTGGCAGCAGGGGTAGATGGTGGCTGCTGTGCAGAAAGGGTTCCTAAGGCATGTGCCTCTGGTAGAGCAGGGCTAGGGGCTATTGGCAGGGCTCCTTCAGGTACTGAGATGGCCGTCTCTGGTTTCAGGGGCAGGGTCAGGCTGGGAGCTGGTGGCAGGACCTGGGAGACCAGCATGCTGGTAGGAAAGGTGGCGGTGAGGATAATCTTGCCTTGCTGCACAGCCACGCCTGTCACAATAGGGCTGCCAGACACAGGGTTGGCCAGAAGGAAGTTTCCTGTGGGGAGAGGAGACGGGCCAAGCACAAGGTCAGAGACAGAAGCAGCTGGCAGAACAGAGGGGGAGATGCTGCTGGTTGGCAGGTGACTGGGCCCCTGCCAGGCAGAGCCAGGTCCATGTGACTAGAGCCAGGACACTATGCCTGGGACAAAAGGGCACTGGGACTTGCTAAGGGTGAGATGCCCCCCCCAGCCCATTGTTAGTCTCCTCCCTCTGAGAACTGCCCGCCCCTCTCCCAGCTCCCTAGGGAGGGAGAAGGGGATACCTGGAGCAGTGGCTGAAGGTAGCTGCAGGGCTGTCACACCCACCCCAGAGTTTATCAGATGCACGTTGGCAGGGCCTGCTGCAGCTGCCACCTTCACAGGACTACCTGGCCCCGCTGCCAACAACTGTAGTGGCCCCACAGCCTGGGGCAGAGTCACCACCTGTGAGGTGGGCACAACTTGGGGCAAGTTCAACAGTGGGGAGGTGGGACCCAGGCCTGTTGAGTACCCAGGGGGTGGGGAGAGTGGCACCACCTGTGGAGCAGCCACAGTAGGTACAGGTCCTGGGGGTAGAGGAAAGGTGGCAGCTGGAGGGGGGCCAGGCACCACTTGGGGCAGGGGTCCTGAAATCTCCTCTCCAATTGGCCCTGAAGCAGCGACCTGGGCTCCCTTGGTCTCAGGAGCCTCAGGCTGAGCCTCCTCCAGCCGAACCTCTCCAGTCTGAGGGTCCAGGACCAGGGAAGTCTTGGCCTCACTGGCCCCCTGAGGACTAGGCTGTGGAGGAGGGGCTGCCCCACCCCCTGTGAGAAGCAGGGGGCCCAGGCTGGAGGCCTCCCCCAGGGCCAGGCTGTTGATGATGACAGGGCTGCCATTCAGGAGCATAGCTGGAGAGCTGCTAGCCGCCAGGAAGCTCCCATTCACCAGGATAGAAGAGGAGGCAGGGCATGGTGTAGGAGGGGTGGCCCCTGCCAAAAATACGGAGCCTTGGGCAGTGGCCTCGCTAGACACTGGGGCCACCCCTCTCTCCAGGTCCTCAGGACTTCGGCTGGACTCGTCTTCAGTGGTGGGATTCCCATCAGACTCACTGACCGGAGAAATGATTGTAAGTGGGGGTTCATTAGCCAGCCGGACTACCTGCACAGAGCTCTCTGCAGGAGCACAGGCTGCTCACTACCTCCCCACCTTTCCACTGCCCAGGCTTCTTCGGACCATTTCTCGGCTATGAAACCTCTGTGAGACTATCCAAAGACCCCAGGGCCTTCTGGAAGCTCTGCACTGAAGCCATGGCAGAAAAGCTAACACTGGCTGGGATGGGGAGGGAAGAGGCCGGGCTTTCCCACTGCCTTGGCCCCAGTGCCCCAGAGACAAAGCATCCAGGTTGCCCTGAAATTTCCTGCCTTAGACTGAGAGTGGATGAGCAGGGAGTATCCCAGAGAGAGTGAGGAGCAGACCCCTAGCTCTGATCCCGGAGTACCCTCCCCGCGGGGCATCAGAGAAGAGAGTGAGAGGCCAGGCCCACAGGGTGGGAGGAGAAGGGCTTGGGTTACAGGGAAACCGGAGCTAGGGAGGGTTCACGTTTCACAACAAAGACGGACGACAGGCCACGCTGTTTGGACCCTGGTGGGTGTGGGAGTGGGTGGGGAAGAGTAACGGTCAGGGGAGGGCCCAGCTGCTAAGGGTGCCTGAAAGCAAACCCTACATAGTCTGTGGTGGGCAAAAGCTCCTCTCCCTTTTCCGCAGCCCCTCTAGAGTCCCCCACTTTCTCACTGCTGCCCCACAATACAGTCCCGAACATGAATGGGATCTGGATTGGAGCCTGGATGGATCAGCGGGAAGAGGTCTCCGAGCCCCCGGCATGCGGAGCAGTGACACCCGGGTAGGGGGCCCAGGATGTGAGCGGGAAGTGTCCAAAGACCTCGGCGCGCTGACCCCAGTAGTGGGGGGAAAGGGGTAGTGCATACAATGTTCCCTGAAAAACCAGAGTTGCGCCGCACGAGTCCACTTACCTCTTGCAGGGCCCGCCACCGCCGGCCCCGGTCCGGTCGCGCTGTCGCCGATTCTTGAACCAGTTGCTGACCTGCGTGAGCGAGAGGCCAGTAAGCGTGGCCAGGCGGCGCTTCTCGTCCGGAGTGGGGTAGCGGTTGCCGCGATAGCAGGCCTTGAGCGCGGCGCGGGAGCGCTCCTTGAAGCAGTAGACGGTCTCCTCGCCATCCCAGATGGTCTTGGGCAGCGGGAATTTCTTGCGCAGGCGGTATTTGTCCACTGCGCCCAGCGCACGGCCACGGGCCCGCTCGGCCTCGTGGTAGCGCGCGCGCAGGTAGAGGTCCTGCAGGAAGGCGTGATGGGCGACCGGGAAGGGGCGGCTCTCGAGTAGCCGATAGAGTTCAGCGTACTCGCCCCGCTGGAAGGCCACCAGGGCCCGAGCGCGCAGCACCGGGTCGCTGCCACGTAGGCGCTCGGCCGGGGGCAGTGCGCCCAGGAAGCGGCTCAAGCGGCCGGCGTGGCCCGCCTGTAGCAGCGCCTCGCAAACGCACGCCACCTGCTCAGGCGAGAAGCGAAGGCCCGTAGACGGCTCGGCAGTGGCCTCGGGGGGCGACTCGGGGACGCCCGGGGACCCCGGGCCCTCCTCTCCCGCCGCCGCTTCGCCCGCCCCGGCCCCGGCCGCCGCCGCCGCCTCACCCTCGGCCGCCTGCAAAGTCTTCAGGAGCTGGCGCGCTTCCTCCTCCTCCTCTTCAGTCGCCGCAGCCGCCACCGCCTCCCCCCCGACCGCCGGCCCCGCGCTCGGCTCCGCAGGCAAGGTAGCCATGTTTAGCAACTTTGGGAAGTTCCTCCCTCCTTCTCCTCCTCCCTCGGGCTTTCCTCAGCTCCTTCCCCCGCCTGTCCGCCCTCTTCGCCGCCCCCTGGAGCTTCTCGATTTTCTCCTCTGGCAGACCCTGTGGCCCTCTCCCGCCCCGAATGCCAGACTCAGCTCTCCACTTGGGTCTCTGCCCCTGTGTGTATCCGTCCCCCTCCTCGTCTGTCCGTGATTCTCCCTTTGTTTTCCCTCCGTCTCTGGCCGCGCTGTCTGCCTCCCCCCGCGTGTGCGTCTGGCTCAGGGCCTCAGTTTCCCCATCGGGACAACGGAGAAGGTAACGGGTCGTCCAGAAGGGCTAAGGGCGCGAAGCCACCTCCGCCCCGAAACTGAGCTTCTGCACGCCTCGTTCTGCAGGGTCCTCTGAAGGCCCCCCCATTCCCCATCTCGGCCTGCGCTCCGCCCCTCGGAATTCCCGGCTCCACAGGGGGGCGGGTCTGTGCGGGAGGAGGGCGGGGGAAGCTGGCTTAGAAAGTTTGCAGCAACTTTCCTCCAGCCTACGTTCCTGGAGCGGATGCGCGTGGCTTGCGCAGGCGCAGTGGGAATAGGATGGCCGCGCGCGCTGCCGGCCCAGCCCCCTTTCCTAGACAAGCCGCGGCACAGCTGCAACACAGCTGGGCGGGGGAGGTGCGGGGGTATGGCCCGCGTGTCTCCTCCTATTGGCCGGCTGTCGAGACCCCTCCTCCAGTTTTCTCTTTTCCCAGTCCTGATTCGTTATGCTTGAGTCCCGCTTGCTCTCCGCCAGGCCATTGGCCGCCTCCACTCGCCTTCCGATTGGCTCACTAAGCAGACTGCCCACCACGCAAACAGAGCGGACACTGAGCAGTCCCAAGCTTTGGGCAGTAGAGAGGGCTTTTTTATTCGCAAGGGTCGGGGGTGGGGTTCTAGGTGGGGAGAGACAATAAATACTGAGGAATGTCAGGGGGTCTCAGTGCATCCAAAACGTGGGTTGGGGTATAGGGATCCTGAAGCCTGTCAGCGAGTTGGAGGACAAAACAATATTAATAAATATCCAAACCTCTAAGGCGGACGGGGCCTTCTAAGGCTCCGAGAGTAGCGCATGTGAGGAAGGAGGCGCAAAAGTCCCCGAAAAAGCGGGGCGGGCAAAGGCCAAAGCTTCTCGAGAAAGAGGACAGAAGTCGCTTCGAACGTTTGCCATGGAAATAAAACGTTCCCAGAAAGCAGAACCACATGCACAAGGATTTGCGTTTGACGGTGGTAGGTGGGAGTGCGTGGAGGGTGAAAAATGGATAGCCACGCCCGGCCTGCTGCCTTCTCAGGACCGCAGTTTCCTCATCCACGTCGGGGCCTCAGCCCAGTCGGAAGAAAGAAGTGGTATGCGATCCCACCCTGCAGCAGCAGTCCCGGATACAAAGCCCCCACGAGCCCTATTCGCCAGTCGCGGACCCGGCTCCTCTCTCCCCGGCCGCCAGAGGGCGGGCCTGGATCATAGGACAGGAGCTGGGGAGAAGAGCTCCGGTTCACGCTCGGAGAAGTGATGTGAACGGACAAGCGGCGGGAGCGTCTTCTATGTAGTGTCCGGGCCACCCAACCCTTCAGTGAGCCCCGAGTGGAAGACTGGGGTTCTAGGGTTCAGGGGGCGAAGGCGGCTCCCGGGCAGCACCAGGCTGGGGCATAGCCGGTGTAGGCCACCAACCCAGCGCAGCCCAAGGTGGCGGAACCAGCCAGAGGAGCGGCGAACAGGAGCAGGGAAAGCGCCTCCGATAGGTCAGGCCTAGGGACCTGCGGGCAAGAGGGTGGGATCAGTACTTTGCAACATGGGCCTCTGATTGGCTCCTGGGACTCACCGCCTGCGCCCAATGGGGGGGTTCCTCAATCATCCTTGCACCCCGCCCCCAGCCTTCAACAGCCTGCGGCTATGGTTGGTTTGCTCGTAAACCTCAAGCGCATAACCCGTCCGAATTCATCATTGGTTGCTTCCTAGCGGCCTGTGTTGGTTGGCTGCCTGAGCATCCTCCCCGCGATGGGCGGAGCCCGAAAAAGACACAGCAAAGCAGTGGAGGCCAGGGGTTGGTGTAGCCAGGCGGGAGCGCAGCGGCGGGCGTGGGCAGCCGAACGTACCCTGGCAGGGAACAGCAGGTGGCGGCGGTGCATGGGGCCTGGCCCCACCAGCGGGCACTGGCCCAGAGCCACGGCCGTGGGGCCATCTAGCTGGAGAGAGAAGGGACAGGTGACCCGATCGGAGCCCAGCCCAGCCTTCGCCATGGGGCGAGAGACAGCGAGGGGAGTCGAAGCCGGGGAGGGAATCGGGGGAGATCTCTGAGGGAATCTGGTGAGACACCTTAACAGAAGGAGATCCTGAGGCTGACTGAAGGGCTTCTGCTCCCTAGAGTCGCAAAGAGGTAGGGTGAGCCCTAAATACGGACGGGGAGATGGGGAGAGGGGATCCGCAGAGTGGGCAGCAGGCCTGAGGCAGGGCAAAGAAAGGGGTCTTACATGGGAAGGTGGATCCGTGGCCCGGGGACTGGGGACCCCCGTGACAGCTGGAAGGAGAAGAGAGAGGCGTAGGGTGCGTGGAGGGACGGAGGAGGGCGGTGGTGTGGCGTGCCCCAGCTTGGGCCCCTCTCCCCCCAGATATCCATACCCCTACCAAACAGCCTGCCCACCTCCTCCGGGCGCCCTCGGGGAAGGAGGTGGAAGAGAGACTCGCCTTCCGCTCCTTGAGCCTGTAACAACTCCATCTGCTCCTGCAACTGGCGGACGTGTGCCTCCAGGTCACGGTTCCGGGCCTCAGCTTCGCGCAGTTGACTACAAGGAAGTAAGGACGGTGAGCCTGTCTTGAGTCCGGGCGAGGGGCTGCAGATGGTTGCCAAGGGCCCCGTACCCTGATCCCGACCTGGCAAAGTTTTGGTTGGCCGTGCGGATGGCCTCCAGCTCCCGGCTCAGGCTCTGCCGGGTAAGCACCTCCTTTTCCAGGGCCTCCTGGAGCTCCCGCAGCGTCACCTCTGCCTCAGCCTGTGCTGCTGGCACAGCCTCTGGAACTGCCACTTCAGCCTGTGTATAGGACAGGGCTTAGGGCTGCCTGTGGCTGCCAGATGATTCCAGACTTGAGCATCAGTTCAGGGCCCGGGGTCCTCTTACTCCCCCACTCCTGAAATTTCTGAAATCCCCATAGCTACTGCAGTGACCCAAGCCCCCTCCTTCCCTACCTCCTGCCCCATCTGTGGGTCTCCTATCTACACAGGAACCAAGGGCTAGTACTAAAACCCTAACTCAACTTGACCATGTCCCTCCACTGCTCAAAATTTCTCCAGCTCCCTAGTTCCCTCAGTACAAAGTCTGCTCTACCAAAGGCCTTGCTTAGTTTGTTTCCTGCCTCCCCTCCCCTTCTTATGTAACAGTTCAGCCATACTACCTTCCTATCACTTCCAAGAACAAACTGGTGTTCTCACCTCGGGGCTTTGGCCCTCCAGCTTCTTTCTACTGAGCAGTTAGTGCTTTTCTTTGTATGGCTGGCTCCTTTGCCAGTGCTCAGCTCAAAGATAAACTCAGAGCTCTCCTCCACACACACATGAGATGTGCACACACAAACTGAATGGCCTGCTATAATTTCATCTCCACAGGTTTTCTGTCTGCCTCTGTCCAGTAAGCTCCCAGAAGGCCATGGTGCATGGCAGCCTGGAAGCACTCACCTTTTTTTTACTGTTCATCTCTGACACTCTCCTTCATCAACTTACTGTTTCCTCTGGTGTAGACACTGTAGGCTTCAGGCTGGGCACTTGCACCTCAGGCAACTGCTCCACCTCCAGTTCCATGGGTGTTGGGCCTGAAAGGACCTCCCTGTCCCTGGGGAAAGGAAGAGATGTGGGGAGGGAGAGAGACTGCCATCCCTAGGTTGAGAACCAGCACTCCCTACCTTGTGGGCAAGGGGCAGTTGGCCCTGAAGACCTCATGGTTTGAGGTGGGGAGGGTAGGCAGAATGAAGAGACAAAGTGCCAGGGTGGCTGCCAGGTCCTCCTCTGAGAGAGCCCTGTGCCTCCTATGGCCTTGGGCCCCTTGGAGCTGCTTCCTTTTCTAAACCTTCTCCAGGGACTTGGAGTTCAGACATCTATTCTAGAAGGCCTCCTCCCTTTGCAGATCCCTCTCCTTAAGTCCACAGGACAGAGAAGGGGACCCCTCAGGACAGAAACTGCCCAGCTCTGGCCACCACCAAAAGCATAGGATCCCAATATCCAGATAACAGCACACCCGCTCTAAGACTATGAAGAGAATGTCTCCTCCATCCCAGCAATCCTTCCTGTGGGAATATGTCTCAAGGACCTGTCTATCCTGGACATGTGCCTAGAATATAAAAGGCAATGAGTTAAATCCTGACCTGCCATTAGGCATGATACCACAGTGGTTCAGAACCATGCTGTACTTCATTAATGATAAGAAGTGGTGTTTGTTATACATCGTCCAGTAATAAAAGCTGATTGGAAAATAATCTGTTCTGAGGCTGGGCACAGTGGCCCACACCTAAAATCCTAGCACTCTGGGAGGCCAAAGTGGGTTGATTTTAAAAAAAAGGCCTGGCTCGGCCAACCGGCTAAGGCGCCAGCCACGTACACCTAAGGTGGCGGGTTCGAATCCCCAGCCCGGACCCGCCAAACAACAATGACGGCTGCAACCAAAA